ACCTCCTGAGGTCCCTCTCAACCCTCATTTTCTATGATTCTGTGATTTTCTATGAATCAGAAATATAATACCATTTGGCACTCTAATAGGGCCTTTTGTATCAAAATCTTGAAAACTTTACATTTTATACCATTTCACAAGTTCTTGGTGATACAGAGGTTTTGTTACTTCTAACAAAAGAAGTAGGCTTGTTCTACTTCACTAGTTACTCAGTGGCATGGTTCAGAGTGGAATCTTAATTTTCTGTCTTCTAGTGTTGCCACTGGAGTGTGCTTCCTCGTTAGAAAAGGAAGTTGGATATTGCTAACGTCCTATCTGCATCTCCTTACCCTTCTCAGATTTATTTCATCTTGTATCTCTTTGTGTCCTCTGATATTGTGGGCAGTTTGGGGGTAATAACAATGGAAGACTGTCTTGTTATACCAGAATTCTGGTGCCTTTTCAGTGACATACCTCTTGGTTTTTGACAGGTTGGTTCAGATAGCAGAACATCGGCTCCCTAATTATTTTGTCACAGAAGAAAAATTGGTTTCTATGACCCGTAGCATCCATCTATATCGGGAGCTCACCTGTGAGAGTGTACTGAAAAGGTATTGTTGCTTGTGAAAACAAACAAGAAGCCCATCTTTGCTGGACTGACTCTTTTACAAATCTTGTTACTTCCCAAGACTTATGTGTAGAAGTTCATTTCTTTGGGTGTTTACATTACAGCATCTAACAAGTTTGAATAGGTAAACTTACTGCAAAAAGTATTTGTGCCATAATGCATATATTTAATCTTACATTATCTTCATACTGAAGCTTTCTGAAATGTTTTGAGGCGTCTCATTTAGTGGATCGTCGGTGATTATTAAAGTTCTGAATTTTGTAATACAGTATACCTTTATACACAGCCAGCAGTGCAGAAGCTACACAAAATCTGTTCATAATTTTTATTAAGGGTCTTTTGAATTTACTGTTGTGTTTGTTGGGAGAAGGGGAGGAGTTAGATGTACTTTTCTGGGAGGGAAGGGGTGTGAAAGTAGAAATCGGGGGGTTTTCTTGTATCTGGATGCGAATGGCGGTTGGCAGGCATGGTTTGGATTGGTTTGCTTGTGT